ACAATAGAAGCGATGGCACAAAATCTAACTTATTTGTGCCACATTCCTCCGTTTGTATAAAAAACGATTAACGCAAGGATGTTTGGTCCACTTATTCACATCCAGAGCTGGTTTGAAGTTGCTATGGGCAATGGTAACTTTATAAGACGAATACTCTTCAGGATGTTTAGAGATGAGCTTCTCAACAGTAGCCTCAGGGAAGTGTAGTTTAACCATAGAGCACATCTCCTCAATATTCGTGTCTGGATGGATTCTGCTAACATCTAGCGAAACTTTTTTCTCCACGCATCTCACTGCGCCAGTTTCGGGACCTTACCTACGACTAGGCTGCGTCTACTTCTGTTTCGTCGAGTCTTGACCGGCTGCCACTGACTGGAGTTACTGCCATCTGCATCAGTTCCATCATCAGGATGACGAACGGCCGCTGGCACTGACGATATTGGTGCTGCTGTCGGTTTAGCACTCGTCTGCGCTTGCGCCCGCTCCACTGCTGTAGCCACCTGCTGACTGGTGTTCGTGCTCGAATACGAGAACTTGGTGCTATTCGCAGACACCTGCTGTTTCGACACTCCTGAGTCACTTGTATGTTTATTTACTTTATTCATGGGCTTTCTGCTTTCTGATTTGTTTCGACTCGCACTGGTAGAATTTGCGTGTTCTTTCTGCTCAGTCACAGATGTCGTTGCTTGTCTCATCATAGCTGTCAATGAGTTTATTTGTTCGTGTAAACTGTTTATTGTTTTTTGTTGCGACTTAATCAGAAGGTTTTTATGCTTGATCAACTCTTTCAAAAATATAATATCCTTATTACTCACATTGTCGCCAATTACATCATTGACGCTTTCGTCTTCAACTTCGTCCATACTTCGTTGTCGAACGGTGACATCGGTCGGTTCGCGGCATCTGGCAGATTCACAGCACAGTATTGTCTTTTCGTCCAACTTCTGAACGTTTTTGAGATACTTAAAGCAACCACTATGCACTGAGGTTTTGCATCGCACACACTGGTACCCACTTTTCTCAATTGTGCCACATCTTTTGCAGATTTTGTTGTCAACTACAAGCCCGTTGTTACTAGCCGCCATCGATGGCTACTATTCGAGAGGTACACTCGCAATATCCTGAAAAAATAAATGTGTAGGCCGGCATTTTCGGAAATCATATTGAGGGTCCTTCCTTGATTTCTGAAAACTTGATGGAAAATACAGTAAAGCCACGAATTACAGAAATAATAGAAAATGACTCAATTATAATAAAAATTCTGGTTAAAGTACGGCTCCCTTAGCACTTTAATGTGGAGGCTCTTTAACCTTCGGGCAACGAGCACATCAGAAGAAAACTCAAAACAATAAAGCTTTTCGAGCTAAACAGGCTACGTGCGCTGTGACAAAGGATAATTTGCATAATCCTAGGCTTTTTAATCAGAATAATTTAAGCTAGAGTGGAATGATGAAAACGCTCGATTGAATGAATGCATGAATAATGAAATTAGAGGCATACCGGCCACCATGAGGAGCCAGCGCATAGGCAGCTTGAGCAAGCCCTTGTGCACCTCTACAGTCCCTGCACCCCAAGTCTCGCCAGTCTAGCGAAGTTGAGTATAGTCGTGAGTCCAAGCTCCTTAACGATCTAGGGGTCCAAAGTGATGGACCCCATTATAGTCTGGCCGTAGTAGCTTAAAGCCTAACAGCGACACAGAACGTGCGCCGAGGTCTCTTCCTCTACCCCGCAGCGATCACTCAAGGGATCCTCAGCTATACCCACCTCGTGTATTAACGTGCTATGGCCAGACAATAGTTGCACCAGCAACTTTAGGTTAACTCTATCGAAAGATCAGCAGAAAGGTCTATCTTTAGCGCTGTGCCCTTCAATCAGTTCCCGTGCCTGACGGAGATGTCTGGAGATGCTTCTTCTCCATTTCTGAGAGTACTGTCTTGCAATCCACTTCTCCATTTTCCTCCTAGCTCTTTGGGTGGGTACCCCTAAGAGCTAGATTAGTACCAACGAGCTTGATGGCTGATCCTGTTTTCGCCAGAGCATCCGCCGTGTCATTGACCTTTATCCCAGCGTGGCCCGGTACCCACACTAACGATACCGGATACCTGTCTGCTAGACAATCCAGAGCCTGCCTGCATTGCTGTACCAGGCCCGAAGTAATCTTACAGGCACTTACTACTCATAGGCCCTCCCCCCTCCAACATGAGGGATTCACGAGCCAGAATCGTAAGGATTTCCGCCTGGAAAATAGTGATGTATCCACCAAGAGGCAGATATACAGGGTGTTACACAACTTGTCCGAGAAATTTTATCCACATATGCATGAAAGAAATTGATTTCTCGAAAAAAATGTAGTAAAAGTCCTACAGAAATCGAGATAATACAATAATGCAGTTTATCAGTTCACTTACTTATAAAAGCTGTTCAAAATTGTTTACATTGACTGCAATGCAACCTTGGGCGCGTCTCATCCAATTTCGGCGCACTAATTTAAATACACCTCCTTTTTGCTGTGCCTGAAGGCTCAAATTATCGGCAGCCACGGTGATTCGGTCGCGCAATTCTTCAATATTCTGAGCTGGAGTACGGTGTACCTCATTTTTCAAATATCCCCATAAAAGGAAGTCCAGAGGATTTAGATCGGGAGACCGTGGAGGCCATGCAATTGGTCCACCCATTCCGATCCTGCGTATCTGGTATACCTGGGTCAAAAAATTACGAACTTCTAAACAAAAATGCGACCCCCATCCACTCCACGGTCTGGGGGCAAATCTCTACTAACGCGTGCACGTAAAACAATTGAACTAAATGTTTCGTGATGTGGTATGTGCCTATCGGAAATCGGTGTGCATACAAACGAGAAGCCGCTCGCGAGTTTTGCACTGCTTCTTCGTACGCTAAAACGATGTCCACTAGTGCCTCATTAGTATACACATGTGCCATTTTTATAACCAAATAGCTTAAAACATATATAAATAATTATTTAACTTCACAAAAATCGACCGTTCTTCATTCAGATAACCCACAATACAGATTAAACCTTATTTACACGTTCTTATCAGTATTTAGTAGTATGGTATTTAGTTTGCATCAGTTGTTTGGTACAACATTTGCTACAATAAATTATTAATGTTCTAATATCACGACGATGAACGCAAAATACAGTGACCTATTTTTCAATTTGTTATTGAAACTCAGATTTATAACTCAATTTCTGTAGGACTTTTACTACATTTTTTTTGAGAAAGCAAGTTCTTTCGTAGCAGTGCTTATGTGGTTGAAATTTGTCGGATAAGTTGTGAACGACCCTGTAGTATCGGTTAGTTGTTTTCAAAATTGTAGACAACCAAATCGCATTTCAATCCTAAGTTTACTTGATGTAGATAGAGTAGGTCTATATATTCTAATGGACGGATTGACAAATTCTGTTTATAACCACCCATACCTCTAAAAAAGGTATTGTCATGAATAGTTTTTACGTTGTGATATCGTGAACAATAGATACAAGCCTTTGTAATAATACATCCAGTAATACTCGCATGCCTGCACAGCTGACAACAATGCTTTTGACTCATCCGTGATTGGATATAGAGAGCATAAAAGATGATGTGAAATGGATTACGGAAAAGGTGTCTTTGGAATACTCGCCAACAATTCCCGTTTTATGTATTGGAAAATGGATTTTATATTACTGCATTCTCCACTTCGCCGATAGCATGCTGCGAGAGTGTACTTTAGAAAACCGGTTTTCCGTGCACGATGAAAAATAATTTGTATATAGCCTTCATATGCTTTTACATCTGTAGGAATGATGAAGCTATAAGCGTAATACGATTTTCGTGAACAAGATTTTATAATTCGCGAACGTTTTAGCAAAAGGAAACATTTCCAGTGGATCTTAAGTTATAATGACATGAAAGGAACTGGGAAAAAGCATCTTTAGGTAGATTTTTACCAATTCTGAGGCACTAGGAACAAATAAGCGGTAGCTTGAAATTCTCACTGACTAGGACCGAGTCAAGCTCAGAATATAGGTAGGAAAATCACTTGATCACCTAGATGCAGACGAGGCTTTAGTCTGTGCTCACCAGCTCCTCAGACGTAGTAGTAGTATTCTAGGATGTGACATCACAACAACTATCGAAGGAAATTGGGTATTTCTCCTAAATCTAGGCAGGTAACTGAGCTTGTTCCCATCAGATGGGTGCCTCTGTCACCATACATTCAAGACCTCTACTATAGATGCTCAATTTTGGGTCATATGACAAAAGACTGTAGGATGCTTGTTTGACTGATATACGAGTACTTGTCAAGACAGAAAACGTAATGACACTGTGTCTTACACCCGTATTTAGTGGATGCGACAAATTCGTACAGTATTTTGATAAAAATGGCGGCATCATATGCAAAAGTAATGTCTCCCACTTTTGCCATATTTTCTATCTCTTTCACGTATAATATAAATAGAAGGCCTCAATGGCGTATTCTGTAGGTTCCCATACTATTGATATTACCTATAAATGTTTTTTACGTAGATTTGATAAATAGATATTGTAATCCCTATATTTAAGTGTGTATTTAGCAGCTGTTGTCCATCTACGGTGTCAAACGCTCTAACCAGGAAAAGAAAACACATGTTAGAGACTTCTTATTCATTAAATCACTTAACAGCTGGGTTGAGCCACCATGTATTATTCAACCTACATAAAAGCCAAATTTTTATAAGACGCCACATTGCATAGGGCAAGAATATTTTGAAAAATTTATCGATCCAGCCTTTTGCCGGATTCTGAATAGCTCGCAACTTGTGATGAGAATAGCAAGTCACATGTCATAATTATGATGATTACGTTTTTTCAAAAATTTCTTGTTGGTACATTTTTCTCTCTTTGCTGACTACGAATATTTCCAGAGCGGATGTACATATTGATCAATTTGATGTCAAGTATCATGCTCTTGATACTTCTGAAACTTATTATTTGATTGGAGTATTTCTACATTTTCTTTATACCGAAGCAGCTGCGCAGGCAGAAGCCTAGATGCCGGAACACCGCGGCTGCTATGATGAACCCAAAGAAATTTTGTTAGTCCACTTGTTGAACTGCCTAAGGTTAGTAGAACTGGGAAAAGCTTCCTCTTGTAGATTGTTCCAAAATCTAGACACCTTCGGGTTAAAGGAGGGGTCGTATCGGTCAGTTGGGGGTGTGGGACGGCATCATGGAGGAGCAAAGCCCGTTGGTGTAGCGGTAGAAGAGAGTTAGATCGCCGACAGCCCGCCAGTACGTAAGGGTTCCGAGTATGTCTGTTAGAGAAGTGTCATCGATCAGTCGGGCAGCCCTCCTCTGTACAGCATCGAACATAAATAATGTAGTCGGGGCGGCAGCACCCCAAACGTGTGAGCAATACTCAAGGCTAGACCATATCTGGGCCTTCTATTGAGTGAGAAGGTCATGCGCAGAGTCATCGTCATTTAGATAGCCGTAAATATCGTTTGTAGGATCCTGAACGTTCCGTAGTGTGTAGCAACTCGTGTGTGTTCCTCGGAGCGAGTGCATGGCTATGTTGCCTGGCGTTCATTGATCAAGCCCACACCTCCATGCTCTCCCACCCCTCGCCGATATTAATTATTGGTGTGTTGTTACCGAGAGCCGAACCTTATTTAATTAGATCCGGCAACAGGGGGATACGAACCTCGCTCATGGACGCGCGGAGGGTTAAGCGATGTTTATAATACTATACACAAAAAATGCATTTGGTGGCGCTTCTCAAGCAAGATGGTACTGCACACAGAATCTCGACGGATGTCTCATGCATGTGTTACCTTCACTGGAAATTATGAGTCTCAAGCCGCGTACGGACCGAAAAT